CTCCCTTTTGGAAGGCAAAGGAGGGTGGGAGAAAGACGACAGCCCGAGCATGCAAAGCCAATGGGGCCCCCAGCCCCCTCCTGGGCTTTGCCAGCATGGGAACTGTGTCCCAGCAAGGGGTTGAGCCCCCCCGGAGGTCTTTCCCCAGGCTTTGCCATGTGGAAAGACTCGTGGGCTGAGCCCCCCAGACCAGGAGGGGGACTGTGGGCTGCCCTCCACATGCCTGCTCCCCCTTTTCCCAGCAGCTCTGTGCCAAGCTGCCTGATTTTTTCCCATCCTTTTATTCCCCCCACCTCCTTCCTCCTCCTTTTCTGATCCCGTGCCAGTGGCTGGGGGTGTAGCAGGGGGATAGAGCAGGCTGAAGGCACCCAGTACCCAGCTGTACGTGCCTTGCACCTGTGGCAGGAAGGCTTTTCTCCCACCTTTTTCACTCGAGTTTAATAATTTTCCCAAGTTTGGGACAGTCTGTCAAAGTATCACCTCTCCTCTGGGATCTCAGTGGGTCAAACCATTAGCAGCTGAGCTTTCTCCCAGGAACAGGCTGTGCCATGGCAGCAGCAGGAGCATGCATTGGTTAAATGCAAGCTAATTATCTCTTAATAAACTCCAGGCACCTGGGCTGACCCGGGCATTTCACCAGGTTTTTGTGCTGGGATGCTTGGGTGAGCTGGGAAAAGAGTGGCTAAGGGGTGTTTGCAGGGTGCAGTTTGCATTTTCCCGGGCACAGCAGGGCAGAAAATGGCACAAAGAGCTGCAAAGGTTTGTCTCACACTCTTCAGGCTTCCCTTCCACAGCTGCTGCTCCAGCATGGTGTTTTGGCTGGGATAACTTTTCCCAGGAGGGACCCAGGGCTGGTCTTGCTGTGCCAAGGCAGCCGGTCTGCCTGGGCATCGCTTGCCTGCTGGTGTGGGGCTCCTCTGTCGTACGGGAGAGGAGATGGCCCAGCTCCTGCCCAGAAATGGCCTTGGGGAGTCCTGGGGGTGGAAGAGCTGGTGCGGATGCAATGGCAGCGTTCAGAGCGCTCTGCTGTGAAAGGAAGGTGCTGGCTCCATGGTGAAGGCCACGGGGCAAGGCACAGCCCTAATCAAGATGTGAGCTGGTCTGGGATAGAGAAAAACAGCCTGTGTGGAGCAAGGCTGGGAAATCCAGATAGTTTTGCAAGTGCAGGGTCAGCGTGTTCTAAGATTTCTGCTGATACGGGCTGATTTGGTGGAAGGGAACAAGGGCGGCTCAAGGTATCCTAAATTTTGGAAGAGCATCCCTGACTCCTGTGTGTGTTGTGTGGGGCTGTGGGTGAAAGCCAGCCCAGGGCTTTAAAGCTGAGACCGTGCAAATGGCCTCACTATTCCACATGCACCCCTTGCAGCAACCCCTCGTCACAGCGCACGTCTGGGTGCAAACCCCTGGGGAGTATCTCTTGGCAGAAGGTGCCTTGGGAAGCAACTGGAAAATAAAGGCTAAGGCATTCCCTGCATCCTCACCCTGCTGATTTGCAAGCAGCCGGCGCTGCGGTCGTGGTTTGGATGCTCCGTAGGAAGCGGTTTCAGTGCAGGGGGAGATGCGGCGTCTGGGTGCCAGCGGAGGAGGGACCCCAGGGTCTCGGCTGCTGGGGGCGGTGGGCTGCTGGCTGGGAAAGCACTGCAGTGTTGTTGAGGGACACTGGAGGGGACCCGTGTCTTGGGTTTCCCGTGCATGGACCGCGTGGCGCATCCCAACGGAGCAGTGCTCCCACCCACTGCTCAGGGTCTTGCGAGGACGCAGAGCAGTGTGCACACTGCCAGCACACACTAGGCTGGTTGCCTTCACGTGTCTTACGGTACGTTGTGCCTATGCTGCTGCTCGGGTGGCTTGGTACCAGCCTGCAGTGGGAGGGTGAAGGCCAGCAGGTCTCGGTGCCGATAGACCTGGGTGCGTGCTTGTGTGCCGGCCAAGAGGTGGGTCATTTCTTCAACATGGTGCGTGATACGCCCCGATGCCATGGGCTGGGTGCCCTCCAGGCGTGGGAGCAGCTCTCCCTGCCCAGCCCAGGCCAGCTCGGTGGGCAGGGAGGCTCCATCCCCGGCAGCATCTCCAGCAGGGCAAGCACAGGCATGCAGGGCAGGATCGCTGCAGGCACCTTCGTCACCGCACTGCCCCACAGGATTCATGGCATGGTCCTCAGGCTCAGCTCCCACCCTGAGCCCATCCAACAGCTAACCTGGCAGCCAAGGGCTCCCAAACCTGCTGTCCCTGCTGCCCGCTGATGAGGGGAGGGTAACATTTTGCTTTGCAGTTGGTAAGCTCCCTGGCTCAGGATGTCCATCCTCGGTCAGGGTGGGAAGACTTGCCACGGTGCGGGAATCTCTGCCCTTCACCTTCACTGCTTTTCTTTCCTCATGAAGGTGAAAGCCACGGACGCAGACGAAGGTGTTAACGGGAGAGTGTGGTACAGGATTGTCAAGGGTAAGTCCAAGTGCCCCTTCGTGCATCAGCAGGTTTGCACCAGGCTCCAGCCAGCCCTGTTGCGCTCTCCAGCCTCCTGCGCTTCGCAGCTCACAGAAATTTTTTCCCCAACCCTGAGCAAAGCTGCAGCATCAGGATTAATTGCCGGAGGATGATTTGTCATGGATGAAGACCTAGATGCCGTACTCCTGGCTTGACCAGTGCCAAACGCTGCTGAGCTGGGCCTGATGTAGATGAAGGGGATGGGGGCTTGGGTTGTGCTCCAAGATAGCCCCCTGGGGAGGGCTCAGCGTGTCACCAGGACGGATGCAGCGGCAGTGGGCAGCATCCATCCTGCTTTTCACCCCTCCAGGAAACGAGCACAACAACTTCCGCATCAATCCCAGCACCGGGCTGGTGATGCGAGGCGTGAGGCACCTGGACAGGGAGCAAAACTCCTCTCACGTCCTGGAGGTGGAGGCCTACAACACGGAGCAGGGACCCATGAGGAGCTCCGTGCGGGTAAGGACCTCGCGGAGGGGTGGGCAGCAGGGGCTGGGCAGCAGAGTTATCCATGCAAAATATCGGGATGCTCCCTCAGAGGGCAGTCATTTCCAGCCCTTGCAGGCGTGCAGCAACTTTGAGAGATCTGGCGTGGAAACGCTGACGGAAAGTCTCCGGGGGCTGCCCGTGGGTGGAGAAGAGCTTGTTAAAGGGATTTTTTTGCTGTATTTTTCTTTTTTTCCCGTGACGTCTCGGTGCGATGAGGCTGCTGAGTGGCACGGCTGTCACCGTGGAAGGGAGTCGTGCTCGTTCCGTGAGATACAGCTCAGCTGCTGGGTGGAAGAGCTGAGCCTCAGCACGTTGGAAACCATGTCTCCTGGCCAGGCATCTCTTTAAATAAGCCAGGACTCGGTGACAGTCAAATCTTTAGAGGTGACACACCAGCTTCCCACGGTTCCCACGAACCCAGCCGCCTGGTCGCATCTATTTTCAGACGCACTGGTGGGGTGGGCTCTGGCCGAGCGTGACATTCCCGCAGCACCAGAAATCCAGGAAGGAGAAAGGATGTTCCCTGGGGAAACAGCAGCTCGACCCGCTGAACTTGGAACAGAATTTCCCACCGATTTACCAGCATTTCTACGTTGTGGGGTCTCTTTTAAGTGCACGGTTTTGAGCAGGGGATCCCAAAGCACAGAGGGATTAATATACAGACCGTACCGCCCTCCGGCCAGGGCAGGACTGAGTCACTCCGACCACGGGGTTTGTGTAAATCTGCGATGCTGGGCTGTGCGTGTTCCATCACGTGGTGTTCGTAGCAGCCGTAACGTTTCTCCTGTGCAGCAGATGAGTGCCGTGGAGGAGGTATTTCCCCTCGCAAGGGTTCACAAGCCTGCCTGGCTCACGCGTGCTTTCTCCCGGGGGGGTGGGTTTTGCAGGTGATCATCTACGTGGAGGATGTTAACGACGAGGTGCCGGTGTTCACCCAGCGGCAGTACAACCGCCTGGGGCTGCGGGAGACGGCGGGGATAGGGACTTCGGTGGCGGTGGTCCGGGCCACCGACCGAGACACAGGTAGGAAGCCAGGGGTGAGCTCACAAAAACACCCAGTCTGGGGGAGAAAGCGGTGAAATCGGCCTTTGCAGGGATCCTGGCTTGGCTGGGCTGAAATCCCCATGTGGGATGGGCTCTGTTCCGGGATCGGGGTCATCACTGGTGGTGCCTGCCTCTTTGGGATGCTTGGTCCAACCGGCATCATGGCTCCCTCCCCAGGGAACGGTGGTCTGGTGAACTACAAAATCCTGTCGGGTGCAGAAGGAAAGTTTGAGATTGACGAGAGCACAGGCCTCATCACGACAATCGAGTACCTTGACTACGAGACCAAAACCAGCTACCTGATGAATGTCTCTGCCACGGACCAAGCACCCCCCAACAACCAGGGCTTCTGCAGCGTGTACGTCAGCCTGCTGAATGAGCTGGACGAGGCCGTGCAGTTCTCCAACAGCAGCTACGAGGCCGTGATCGTGGAGAACATCCCCCTGGGCTCCGAGGTGCTCCGGGTCCAGGCCCGCTCCATCGACAACCTCAACCAGATCACCTACAAGTTCGACCCCAACACCAACGCCCAGGCGCTCTCCCTCTTCAAAATCAATGGGATCACTGTAAGTAGCCACAGCGTGGTTCCTCCTGGCTTGGTTGTCCGCTGTGGACTTCGGTGTTGGTGGCTGACGTAGCTGTTCATCCTCGACAGGGTGTGATCACGGTCAAAGGCCAGGTGGATCGAGAGAAGGGAGATTTCTACACCTTGACGGTGGTGGCCGATGATGGAGGACCAAAGATTGACTCCACGGTGGTGAGTAGCTTCTACCTGCTTCCCTGCCATCCCCCACGCAGGCAGAGCTGCCCTCAGGTGCCTCCCTCTTCTTCTGGCATGTCCTAGGTGGCCTCTCTGCCCCAGCTTCCAGGGTCAGGAAACACTGATTTGTGGGAAACCCTTCATTTGCATAGGCACGGACTGGTGCCTTTTAGCTTCTGTATGTCACAGGGCGGGGGGGTGTGGGATTTCTGAAAAACCAAAAAAAAACCCCACCCCAAACCATAGAGCTTGCTGGTCACTTGCCAACCTAAACCAGTTTTGAGGTAGGTAAATCTGGGGGCCTTGAAATACTTCAGAGTGGTTTATGCTTAAGAGGGTTATATTTGGCAGTTTCAAAGGCGGCCGAGCAGGGGGTGATTTGCATTTCTCTGCTGGGGCAGGAGGCACGCCGGGTGCGGGGTGAGCCCAGTCCCCACACCGCAGGCAGGGGCAGCTGGGCTGGCACTACCCAAACTTCTGGTTTGGGCTACCTGGAGGAGCGGCGCCCCGGGTGGGGGGAGCTGGCACCGGAGGCTGGCCCGTGGTGGTGGGCAGCGCTCTGCAGCCATTGTCTCTAAAGAGGATGCTGGGTGGCAAAGGCAGTGATGCTGCAAGCGCTGCCCGTGCCCACCCATGGGTGCCAGCGGCTGTGCTCTCTGCACACTGCTGTGCTCTTGTCTTGTCTGAGCACCTCCCACGGCCCCCAGCACTGCCACGGTGGGATGCAGGGCTAGCCTGCTGCCCCTTGTGTGTGCCCAGACCTCCTCCCCCACTAACTCTTGCTTCTTTGTTTTCTGTCTTCCCCCCTCTGCTCTCCTCCAACAGAAGGTAAGTGTGTCTGTCACGCTGGCATCGCCCTGGGGGGCCAGAATCCATCCCAAACTCTGCGTGCAGTTGCAGGGAGGGTCTCCAACCCCATCCCACCAGCACCAGCCTCTGCGACATCCCCGGGGACGCAGTGCAGTGCCCGTGAGCAGGAATCCCAACGCCCTGACCCGGCCCTTGGGACAGCAGCTGCCGGATCCATCACAGCAGCTGCATGGGCTCACCCGGCTCCTGGCTCTCCTGTTTGTATTCCAGCAGCAACAATAACCGAATCACCCCAAGGCGCACAACTCGCTCCCTGGCTTCCTCTGGGATGTTGGCGCATTCAGCCTGGCCGCAGCTGGGGGCTTGGGGCACCCGTAAATAGAGCCCCGGGAACAGAAAGGCCCTTCCTCTCTCATTTCTGTGTCACTCTGATTACAAACGCGATGAGAGCATTTCCTCTGGCTAATTGTGGCCGAGGTAGCCCAGTCACCTGCAGTGGAGTGCCCCTCTGAGCATCTCCCATCCCATCTCTCGCTCATCCCTGGGCCTTTTCCCAGGAGGGAGCTCAGGTCTTTCCTATGCCCAGCTTGCCCTCGTTTAGTTAAATACACACAGCTCTGTCTTCTTTGTGCCCATTTAGCTTTAAAGCAAACCCTGCCCAACCTCCAGTGCTGTGAGCATGGATGAAATTGCTGCTGGTGAAAAGCTTAACAGGATAGGGTCACCCTGCAGCAGCGTGAGTTGCCCCATGCCCAGCTATTTGGAAAATAAAAAAAAAGGAGGATGCTGCATAGAAAAATCCACCACTGGAGAGCTGCAGCACCATTGCTCTCCAGCCTCTAAGCATCCTTCCTCCTCTGCAGATAGGGATGTAGCTTCAGCTCCTGGGTTCTAATAGCTGCACCCATCCCCACATGGGATGGACAATACTCACGCTGTCGGCACCTCAGGTGGGCGCAGTGGGTCAAGGGTTTGCATGGGTGTTGATGCTGGGTGGGCAGGGGGCCGGCCTGTGCCCTGCCTGAGCCCCGTGCCATGCCCACAGGTGACCATCACGGTCCTGGATGAGAACGACAACAGCCCCCAGTTCGACATCACCTCCGACTCCTCCGTGAGCGTGGCGGAGGACAGCGCGGTGGGCAAGCGGGTGGCCGTGGTCCTGGCCCGCGACCCCGACGCGGGCAGCAACGGACAGGTAGGGAGGTTGGCACAGCAGGTCTGGGGCTGCCCGTAAAGCTGTGCGAGTGTTTGAGAAACACCTCCATCAGCATCTTCTCAACCCCTTCTCCTCCCCTGCATCCTTGGGAGAGCAAACTCTAGTCACGGATGCCAGAGGTATTGGGGGTGTAGGTGGTACCAGCATTTCCTGGTTGAGGGATGCAGCAGGAGAGGAAAAACATTTTCCTTAGGCTGTCTGGGACAAAGGCTGTGGGACGCATGCCAAAAGGAGCCTGGAAATCTGAAAACCAGCTGTGGCCTCCCCCACCACAGGGAACGGCAGCGAAGCCCTTGGCAAGCTGGGCAGGAAGCGCTCTGCCATTTGTTACTCACACAGACCAAGCACTAATGAGGTCCCGTCACCCTGAATACCAAAAACTGTGGCAGCATCATAGGAGGGCTGTGGACGAGACCGGGGTTGGACCTATGGGTGTTTGCTCTGGGGTGGCTGCAATAAGCTAGCGCACCGGTGGACCCCAACACGTTGCACCTTTTAAAATGCTCAGATACTTCCCAAGGCAATGCTGGGTTTTTGAGGGTCTCCTTTCTCTCTGTCCTCCTCACAGCATCACATTTCCTGCCCTGTTTTTCTTGCCCCGTAATGTTTCCAGGTGACCTTCTCGCTGACGTCGGGCAACATTGGCCGGGCTTTCGAGATCCGTACCACCAACAACACCTATGGCGAGGTTTTTGTGTCACGGCCGCTGGACCGAGAGCTGCTAGACCACTACACCTTACGGGTAAGTACCAAACCACCCTGCTTACCTCCTTAGCCGCCTCCTGGTTTGAGCATCAAGGCAGTTTTCTTGGGCCTGTGAGCTTAAAAATAACATTTTTTTTTTAAATCCACCCCCAACTGCAGATCCAAGCCTCGGATGGTGGCATGCCTCCCCGGAGGAAGGAGCACACTCTGCGAGTGAACATCCTTGATGTCAATGACAACCCCCCCATCATCGACAGCCCCTTTGGATACAACGTGAGCGTGAGTGAGGTGAGTGCCCAGCCCTGCTCTTCTCCTTTCATCCTCCCAAGGTGAGGACTGACCATAGGCAGAAGGTCAGAGAATGTAGGGGTTAGTGCCCCCTTGCAAACCCCACCTTGGGTGATTTAGGGGTTGGTGGCCGCTTGCAAACCCCACCTTGGGTGATTTAAGGGTTGGTGACGCCTTGCAAACCCCATCTTGGGTGATTTAGGGGTTGGCGGCCCCTTGCAAACCCCACCTTGGGTGATTTAAGGGTTGGTGACGCCTTTCAAACCCCACCTTGGGTGATTTAGGGGTTGGCGGCCCCTTGCAAACCCCACCTTGGGTGATTTAGGGGTTGGCGGCCCCTTGCAAACCCCACCTTGGGTGATTTAAGGGTTGGTGGCCCCTTGCAAGCCCTCACCTGTGAGGACTCCCAGTTTCCAGCTAGGAGAGAGCTCCGCAGTCAACTTAAGCCCTCGAGGCTGCAGAGACCGGCAGGAAGAAGTAGCTACACACCCATGGAAATACCACTGAAGGGACACAAGAGACGGTGCGGTACAGAATAGGAGTTGCTTTCAGGAAGCTGCTTGGCAAGAGCCAGATAATTAAACAATAAAACACAATCAGGCATGAGAAAAGACAACTTATTTCCTGACAGTTTAATTCCTGGACCGGGGGGTTCTCAATTTGATGATGAAAAATGAAATACGAGTAATAGCCAGTGACACTTAGCTGTGAGGAAGTGCTGCTCACGATTAATAGCTTTGCATTAAAGTTATTGGCCTGTTAGGATTTTCTTATCTATTTAATACATGTTCCGAGCGGGTTGAAGAATAGAATTTCTGTTTTGATTTCCTCCGTAATGGGACTATCCAGAAATAATTAGCCGAGCTCTGAGTCCGTTACGCAGCCTTCACCTTTGCGCACACACTGGGTTTTTACACGCTTTCAGGCCGTGCCAGCCTGGAAAGGACCTAACGCGCAGCTTTCTGCGGCGGGGGAATCAAACTGGCTCGTTGCAACGAACGGGCGATGCCGTGACGGAGGGGAAAAGAGCTGCGATAGGGGC